GAAAGAATATTTTTAATATTTCCAAGTTAAAAGCTTTCAATATTTGAAAAATAATTTTAACACATATAAGTAAGAGAAAGATATTATTTTTCTTATCTATATCCACAGAATTCACTGACAAAGTTCGACTAAGGAAGCCTGGAACACCCGGTATACATTATCACCACGTCTTCTTTTCAAAATTTACTTTCACGAATATATTTTAATTCTCGTTCTCACATCGAAACGAACGTTTCATAATCAAGAGGAGAAACAACGACGACAACCACAAAAATTTTCAATTCTCTTCCAATGAGAAAACGCGTTCCCTATCGAACGCAAATTTTCAATGCACACCCTTTTTATTTTCTAGCCCTCTTCGCTGCCGTGGAACATGGCCACCTGGACAAAGCGAGAACAATTTTGGAGTCGACAGACGTGGACGTGAACAGGTGAGTTTCTTCCTGCACTTCTTTGTAAATTTCTCTACAACCCCCCCAAAAAAGGAAACTCGGGAAAATATTCTCTCTCAATCGAATAAAAAGATAAAAAAAGTGTGATTGGAAAATAAGACGTAACACTTGTCGAGTTAACGATAAAAAGAAGTGGCCAACGTCACGCGCTAATTTCGAACGCGAACAATCGGACAACTGTACTCTCCACATGGTCGAGAGGTGGGTTTAATTGCAGCTGTTATTTAATTAGCCCGACAGTTCTAGAAAACAAGCTAATTAACGCAGGATTGAACGCCGGTTTGCCAAGACACAAGACTCTCTCACAGCATGTTTCGAGGGTTCGTCGATTCAGCTTTTCGAAAAGAGCATTACTTAACGAGGAGCAGATCATCCCTCTTGTTATTCCAGAAACAAAACCTTTCGCTCCATTCTGCATTTCCAACCCTTTATTCGCTGCGTCAACACGTTTCAAAGACCTATTAAAATCGTCTGATTTTCTATCGAATTAATCCTCGAGTTATCATCGTATCTCGGCGGTATTTCACTTTTAACCAAAGTAAATATTAACTCGACCTAAATTTACCGACATCCTTAAATTATGACTGAAAATTCCTCGACCTTTAGCGACGCCGAAGAACACGAAGGGAGAGAAAAACGAGGGAATATCGCGACAGAGATTTTCTTCGTTGCACTCGATGTGAAAAGAAATTTAACGAAAATCTCGTTTCGTAGTCAAAGGGCTAATTTAGATTACATCCTCAAAGGGATCAACCGGAGAATTTATTTTTGCTTTTTAAAGAGAAAAAGAAAAATAGAGAATCACTGTTACAAGTTCGTACAGAAAAGACTATTACAGACGAGAGACTGTCTCAACTGATAACGATTTACGACACGACGAATTCAAGGTTGCGAGGTTCGATTTCTCGTAGTGCGTAGCTGGATGTGTATCACGCCAGGCGAAAGCAAGAGATATTACCCTCTTCAGAGACCGTGCTCAAGAATTTACGAGGAAAACTCTAGCTGTGGTCCATTTGTTTTCCAAAAGTATTCTCCTATTCAGCCCGGACGAGAGAGGACTCGATTCGCTGAAATAGCAGGCGCATGTTTATGGTCCAGGATGCCGGTTTCGTCCAGTACCGTGTATCGTTGGTGTCGTTAGAAATTTTTCAGCTAATCCTATCCAACGGAGATCTCCCGTTTTACGGTTCCTCGGGACTGCCTCGTAAACTCGGTTCGTTCTCTTAAACTTTCGGGACAAGCGTGCGCGACGCGTGGAATTCGCAGTAAAGTGGTATATCAGGTGTGAAAATTTCGTTCGCCACGTTCGTTTTCTTATCACACTTTTTATCGCGTTATGAAAATTATCTTAGAGTGAAAACTAATTTTTCTATGCCTGTGATTATTACTTTTTCAATAACTTATATTTTACCTCTGTTTATGTCTTTTTATTGCGTTATCAAAATTATCATAGAGTGAATACAAATTCTTTTATTTCACGTTTGCCCCTGTGACCACTGAATTTTTGCTGATGTAAAATTTACAGGACCACCTCTGTTTATGCCCTTTTATCACCTTTTATCATCATAGAGTGAAGAAAAAAATTTCTATGCTACGTTCGGCCACTTGTAACCATTGAATTTTCGCTAACTAAATATTCTCCTCTATTTATACCTTTTTTATTATATCTTTGATTGTGTTATCAAAATTGTCAGAAGAAGTACTCCGACTCGGAGTAGAGTGGGCGTAAGATAATTTGAACGTTTCTACGTTTCCACAATAATATATTTTACTCAAAGTCTGTATCTACGTTATTCGGGCGTCGTTCGCAAAAGTATATGTTGAGGGTCTCGAGAAGAGTGAGGACGCGTCGCCCTGCCGATCCCTGTCCACCTCTACGCGAACTGGCCCAGGGAAAGACCCAAAGGGGCGGGTCGTCCCCACCGAGCGCGCTGGGCCTGGCTTCAAGACGCCCGCTTCACCGTCTTCGGGACGAATTTTCTCATAAAATTATCAAAATTACCATAGAAAACAAATTTTTCTACACCATATTTGTCACTTGTGACCATTGATTTTTCACTGATATAAATTTTACAGGACCGCCCTGTATATTATCCTCCATTTACACCTCTTCTTATCACACTTTTTCTTGCGTTATCAAAATTATCATACAGTGAAAAATAAATTTTTCTATTCCTGTGACTATCGATTTTTCGCTAATATAAATTTTACAGGACCACTCTGTATATTCTCCTCTATTCATACCTTTCTTATCACACGTTTCATAGTATTATCAAAATTATGATAAAGCGAAAAATTTTTCTACCACACTTCCTCCTTGTTACAATGAATTGACTGAGTTACAAAAATTATAAAATCCTTCGCAACTGTTCCTCGTTGGAATATTCCACCTTGATAAAACAGCAGGATTACACGATCAGCCAAATATCGCGTGGACAATTAGAATTTGTACGATCCACTGCTTCCATTAATACTCTCTCTTTCTCCTATCCTCGATCTGTAAAATGAAATCCCACTGTTTCCCCCCGGTCGAATATTAACGGACCAACTACCTATCGACACAGTACAAATGTCTTAATAAATGCAAAGTGATAAGTTATTCCAACGCAGCGAACGATAAATTCCAATTTAACCGAGCGCCTTGTACATACTATATTCTGTTAGCTCGCGTTAATTGGCGTTTGATGCAACGACCGTTCTACGAGACAAAGCTCCCTATATACGCATTCGAACACACGTTACACTCGCTTCTGCTACATTGTAATCGTATCGATCTGTAACAGAAGGCTCGTTAGATACGTAGCTATTCCTCCACGATAATTAGATTTCGTCGACTAGATAGACATAGTGTCCATCGGATATTCTGCAGCGTGAACTTTCCCATTCAGCCTGTCATTTACACGGAACACCGACTTTCCTCGATACATTACACTCTACTGCAGATTTCTTTCTTATCATATGTCGATAGAAAAAAGATAAAGAAAAATGACAGTCGTGATAAATGAAAGAACGTCAGGAATCTCTATAGGCACGCAAACGCTAATTCACAGATAACGTTACTCCCCGCGTATCTTCTTACGTTTGGTATTCAGCTAGAATGTACGAAACAGTCAGTTTTTTCTCATCAATTCTCGTTACTGTCGTTCGTTCAACACGAGGAAGGATTTTCTTCTGTTGGATCCTGAAGAATCATCCTCGGCGATTGAGACATCCAACCCGGAATTTCCTCTTTTCTAACTCAAACAACGTCCGAGTTCAACGTCAACGTTCAGAGTTTCACATTTACACGGAGTTTGCAGGAAAAATAGCGGCTGTTAAAAATTCGATCCTTTGTGAACGAAGGAAGTTGCATTTGGTTTTTTAGCGTCTAAGAGAGTAGTATAAAGGACTGCAATGATCGATAAGGACGTGGAATAGAAGAGTGTCGGTGAGAACTATCGGAAGGGTGATGGAAGTGACAGGGTATCGAGATAGAGAAGTACCGATCTTGGAAGGATAATCAATCGAATAATGTGAATAGGCGTTTGCGTTGTTGGCATAGGTATACTAGGTGCATCGTGATCGTCGTTTGAATGGGCATTTACTGTCGCGATAATCCGTTTATCCACTTCTACTCTCTTTGTCCCCGTTCGCCAATGCTAGTACGCGAAAGCGCGTTTATCCAAGAACGAAATTGGTGCAGATTACCGTACGGAAATGGTCAGAATCGTTTGTTTTCCGCTTTGGCGCGATGCTTCGATGAGAATTTTGTCGCGGATTAAACCTTTACCTTCGTTGATAAAAATTGAAAATTCGCTTCGGCGAATTTATATTCAAATTTGATGCCTTATCGCTTTAAGAAATTTTCGAGTGCTTTATTTCTCACTGATTTTCTTGACCACTCTGTGGTCAGATGGACAATAATCTATCTTCGTTCATGAAAATCTGGCGAATTTATATTTAAATTTGATACCTTATCGGTTTGTCCTTCGCTAATTTCCTTAACATTTCTATATTTTTTTTCCAGCTCTGTGGTCAGATGCAAGAGCATGATATTTTTCTAATTTGTAGCATAGCAATTTTAAAGTTCGTTCGAATATGAAAAATAATAAAAAGTTAGTCGTATGAATTTTCTAAGCTACATTTCGTCGATAAAAATTCGCTTCGATAGGAGGACAATTTGGCGAATTTATATTCAGATTTGATACCTTATCGGTTCAAGCAATTTTCGAGTGCTTTACTTTCATCAATTTCCTTAACATTTCTATTTTATTTTTTCTAACTTCGGTCAGATGGGAAAATGTGATATTTTTCTAATTTTAAAGTTCGTTCGAATGTGAAAAATATAAAAAGTTTGTCGCACGAATTTTCTAAACTACATGGCACATAGATGCGATATTTTTTGCCAACTTTCAGATTTCATCTAGACACGTATGGAAAAGCACATATCTCAATTTTGAGGAAAATCGAACGTATCACATTTTGCCATGCGAATATATCTCGCGGTTATCATCAATAGCATGTGCGCTCTTTTTTCGTCCTTAATATCCTAGGACTGCATTTTTCAGATGTTTTACATTGAATTTCTGCGACAAAATTAGAATCTATTTCGTTCCCCTTAACCTCGTGTCTTGTAACAAAACAATTGTGTCAGCAAGAAAGATGAATTTTAACTCCAGCCATAATTTCCCATTACAAATCCGAGGATTGGCAAATGTGAATAATGCGTAGAAATGAATTCTTTCGCAAGTGTTGGTCGCAAGTGTGTAACATCTACTACTTTGCCATATTATGCAAATTCATTTCTACTAGTTTTTATTCAAGTTACTGTACAACGAATCATGAACAAATACACATCAGAATAATCAAATTAAAAAATTGTACAATGATACACTGTTATCTTCAACCCTTTCGCTGCGACAGATTATCGGCCGAATCTTTCGTTTTGGCGTTTAAAAATTTATCATTTTTAAATTTCTATTAAAGCGAGAGTACTCGAAGGATTGAATTTTAAGCAAAATTTAAGTATGAAAAAATTCCCAAGGCGCCAATAGCAGTGAAAGGGTTAAGATACAGTGTTCGATGCTGATTCGCTATAGTCACCTTTAGGATACACCAAAAGCCCCGTATTCGGTGACTATAGTCGCTCTTAGCATCGAAAGGGTTAAAAACAGTAAATACCTGACAATTGCACACTTCGTTGGGATTAACACTAGAGCGGTCTTCGTTTTGACTGTACACTTAAGACTTTTGGGTCGAAAAGGACCTAAGACCTTGTGTGTAATAATTTTTCTTTCCAACGCGACATACGAACCTGGACGATAAACGTTTAAAACAATGTCAAGGAACGTAAACTCGATAACAGCAAAGATTACCAAAAATATAAAAAGGCGGTGGGTCGAAAAAGACCCGAAGACCGCTCTAGGGTTAACCCTTTGACTGCGGCGCACCCTTGCACAGAACCATCAATATAGACGGCGCGATATTCGCATGTAAGTCGCTGCGAATTTTTTATTACCGGATTTACCCAATGTTAAGGCGTATCCTGTTTTTCAAAACACCGCAAGTGTTTATTGCGTTGCCTGCGACACTTGGTCCCTAGGACCAGACCCTGCCATAAGTCCTGGAGTCTCCGAACGGAAAATAGAAAAGTGGCCCACGACTTTTGCCAACGT